AATAGCACTTGAACGCTCCTTTTCTCGGCAATTTTTAGCAACTGCATTCTTCTTCGTTTTTGCCTGGCTGTGCCAGTCATTTTACCTCATGGTTCCCCCTCCTCTTGACGTGAAAAAGTCATACACGCACTCAGACATGCTCCTCTCATCACGAACTTCTCCTCGGCTCAGTTTGCGTAAATCTGGAGGGTACGATCCAAACGACCGAGGACCATCGTCATCTACTTCTTCCAGATTTAGCTTCAATCATTTGATCAAAACGCCTCCGCCTTCACCAAGTCTTCCGGCTTTGGTTCCAAGGCACGGTAAGCCAGCGCCATCACGAACTCCCCGAAAGTGGTTCAGAGGGTTTTTATGGGTTTCTGGCATATTGGGGTTACTTTACTTTGGCTTTACCTCGACATGGCTGGAGAGGCCCATGACGGCAGTAGGATGGGCAACACATTCTGGTAATCAGTATGAGATGGTTGGAGAATCAGAATTGCCGGACTTTCCAACGCCAGTTATCGTAACAGACAAACGCGGACGATCGAAATGGACGGTTTCCATACCTCCCAATCACGAATTTCCTCTCACTCCCATACAATATGCCGATATATGCGCGCAAAATATGGAAGTCGCTGCCACTGTTGCTGATCTTCATAGCCACGTGCACCGAGAGCATTTCGCACATTATGATTACTACCATGTGGACCCAAATTTCATGGATGTTGCTGAGGCGGAGGCACATGGACTTTTACCCGGAATTAAGGCGAAGAACAATCTATTGAGGGAAAAAGATGGTTCATTGGTGGGCGAAAATAAGGACGGCTTGATTGATTCAGATATCTGTGACAAGACTCTGACTTTTGTGCTCGAAACATCAGATGCGGGACTCGGAAAGGGCTTGATGATGCTGTGGACTGCGTTCGGTTTGGCTCAAAAGGAAGGAAGACATTTCTTCGTAGATGACTCAAGATGGTAAGCTTTGAGGAACTAAGCCTCATTTCTTTCCTCTTTACTGACAGCAACAAGGGCATACGGCAAATATACAACATTCTTCAAGCCACCTCCGACCCCCAAATGCAGACCCCCACCGCGTCACGAAATGCTCCCATGTCCGCATCATGCTCGCCATCTAGTAGTCTCGGCTGCGACCGCAACTCATATCTTGGGAGGATCTTTCAACGATTATTTTGAAGACGCGAAAAAGATGGAGGTCTACCGACAAAAGCCTATCTTTGAAATGGCTCGCCTCGGGTACGAAGCACTTTTCCACCTATCCGACGATGACAATAAATACGTGGACAGCAGAGCCGGAGAATTCTCGGCGAAGTCCACACTAGACCCATCGGATCAAGAGAACGGGATGGTCATTGGTATACATATTCGTCACGGGGACAGGAGACCATATGAATTCCAGTACAAAGACAGTTACATTCCATTGACTGTGTATAGCGACAAAGCACACATGTTGATAAACGAGAAGTTTAACCACTCACTTCCGAATGGGGAGCACGACACTTTAGCCAAAATAGCTAGTGCATTGGTCATTGCCTCTGATGACCCAGATGTCTATGATTCTGAAGAGTTCAAAGACGTCTCTAGAGCGCAGGAGCAGATTCGACTAGCATCGAAAAATGCTCTTGATGCAGCTGCTCCCAAACCCAACACTCCAGGGCCAAGAAAATTCGTAGATGATACAGTAGGATGGGAAGGAGGATTCTATGCTGGCATGTTCTGGAGTTTAGGCAAACCTTCGGGAACTCCGAAAAATGCCGTCGAAACCCCTGATACAACATTACCCCCTACTACAGAAGCTTTAAGATTGAGAGAATTGGTCGGAAGAGCTTATTTGATGGATTTGGCGGTGTTGGGAAAAGCAAGTGACAAGATCGTCTGTACAGTCAGTGCCACGGGCTGCAGGCTTCTTGCCGTGATGATGGGGTGGGAGAAGGCGATTGATCAAGGAGGATTCGTCAATGTGGATGGAAACTTCAATTGGAGAGGTGTGGAATGGTGAAGAAGTCGAGCACTTGTCTCCTTTCACGCATGCAATTAAATTATTCTTTTGTTCATATTAACACCTCTGGGTAGCGGGATTTTCTGGCGTAAAAGCATTGCCCCGGCGTTGCAAATGGAGTTTTGGGCTTTATGGGATAACTCACAATCGTGAAGGAGGTTATAGGTAAATAGGAAGCATGCATTGCACGGTGTAGGATTACGTGTTGCATGATACCAGGTATTGGTTTAGCGTTTTATTTTATTTTAAAAATTACTTGAACAGTTTGTTTTCTCTCGATTTGAATCTGGACTTGATCTATATACTAGTGATGGCTGCTAAATAGTTTACAAATTACGAAGGAGCAGTGATACTTTCTCTGATCGTTCCTTCCTGTCTTCCTTGGCTCTGGCATATTTGTAGTTTGTTGCTTCTACAGCGCAAAGTTGCGCAATCGAGAAGACTAATTGATACCGGATGAGAAGCAAGGCACGGCAGTATGCATACGTAGGTGTGTATATCAGTTGTTTCTATCTACCTATGCGGGGCCTTCATGAAAGTTCCAGATTGGAATATCCGGAGCATCCATGGATCTGATTGTTGAATTCGAATGGGAACATTGAGGATATCATAGGACATGCAGTCTGAATTGTCGAAAGATTTGGTACTGCTTCTGGGGCATGAGATTGGGGGTGCGCGTTATAGACCGTATCTTGGTTAAGGGCTCTTGAGTATGGGAATGGGAGTGGGAGGGAAGACATGAAGAGGGAAGGAAATCCCTTGGGACTCTTTATTGGTTTTTGTAAAGTATTGTGATAGTATTAAATGATACCGATTGTTATTCCAATTTGTATCAATATTCTGGTTCATGTTGATATCGCAACTCATATCAACTTCCCAATTCAGATTCATGTTTTAATTCATATTATCATTCTAGTTCAAATCAGACTATCATTCTCATACTTTCATACTTTACTATATATGATTTGATCTAGTACAGTTAACCTCTAGTTTACGCCACACCTAAACTTTTCCGTCAAAACCTCGGCACGATGATTTAACGCTAGGTAGGTAAGCTCTGAAACATACAATCCAGCAGATAACCATTTGATGTAGCCTACCTAGTAAAGAGAACCTACGCTATCCACAAAGTTTTCATCAAAACTCCGGCAAGATGACTTTCTTACAAGCTTTAAAACATTGTAGGTTGTTCTTTCTCGCTCAGTATCACTTGTGGTGAGGAAGTAAAGATCGACCCGGTCATCCTCTCCCCAATATGTCGCATGTTTCCATATTCTTCCGCTGTTCATCATCTCATCCATCATTCTTCATTCTTCGCCCATTAAGTTAGCATTTCTTACCCCCGTGTATGTTCAAAATCGAGTTTTTATTGACACTTTCCTTCATTGAGATCGCAAAATTGTCATGGGCCAGCCAAGAAGCATGAAAGCGCTCTCGAGTAGCCACCACATCCGAGATATGTCGATGGAAAGCTTCTTGAAATCTTGTCCGCCGAGTCCTGCTCACGCTCCCTTGGTTCGATCGCCCGTCAGAATACTCGGGAGTGGCTTGTCAGCTTTGACACTCGCACGCAGTCTTTACAAAAAGGGAATCCCCTTCAAGATCTTCACCAAAGATCGTCGACCTGATGAGAACTCCATTCGGCATGATTATAGTATTTCGCTGCCAGTGTGGATGGTCAAAGACCTAAGGAAATTGCTGAATATTAGCGAAAAAAGGTTTCAAGATCGTCTTTTGGTGCCGAACACCACGCCCTTTCCTCAGAGAACGATTAATGCCAAAGTGAGAGTTCACCGCGGTATGCTAGAACGTCTTTTGAGGGCACGATTCAAGGATGAGATTGAATGGGATTGTGAGATTAAGGTTAAATCAAGCGGGTCGCCTCGTTTGGTTTTCCCCCCGAAAGTCGATCCGTTGGAAGGGAACATTACGTTCGACTGTATGGGCGTTCATTCTCCGATACAATGTCCAGGTAGCCATAGAGAAATCAATCCCATTGTGGTATTCCGAGGCACTGCCATCTTGTCAGAGGCTTTGTGGGATCAGAAGTTTCGAGATTGGTTTCCTGGCAATACAGCCCAAATTCAGAAGAAATTCGACGGAACTAATTTGGATCTCATAATCAACCACGTTGATGCGCAAAGCGGCGAAGTGAGCTTGACTTACATCTATTCACGGCCTCGCTTAGATAGTTTAGTAGACACTGAAGATGAGCTCTGGAAACCGACACGGCCAACTTACGAAGCAGCATCCCCTGTCTTGATTGAAAAGCTTCTCGAAGAAATCAAAACCTTCCGACTAAAGAATGATCTACCTGGCCCTTATAACGAAATTTTTGATCCCGAAAAGATGAAAGAAAACAGGATCTTGCACTGGCTGTTGAGAACTCACCAGGTGGACCAGCCAGAACTAATCAAATTGTGGACTGGCGATGACAAGATAATGAAATTAGGCGACGCTATAATAACCATGCCTATAGTCGAGACCACTGGTGCTGAGCTTGCTATCTCCGATGGTTTGGATGTGGCTGAACAGATTGAGAAATATGGGGGAGCGAGGTTGCACCGCTGGTTTATCGAAGGCTGGGAATGGAAACTCACTGCATTCCGGGAAAGCAACCGCCGTATACTTGCAAGGTATCGAAAAAGTATATAGTTGCGCGTGAATTTCAAACCCCTAGGTAAGAGGCGATTATCGGTTTCAGGTGAGGGGCAGAGATTATTACTTATTCTATGGCATCCCTTTCCACATTTTCTCAGCCTCAGGGGTAGCGATAATCGATCACAAAACATAAATTGATCAAATTGAGCGTCTTCAAGGGAAACTTTTCGATAGATCGAAAATTCATTATATTGCATACCTTTCTTAAGCTATGGATGAAACAATGTCGATCACCCAGCACTCATCCTATAAACACATTCATTCACTCATTCATTCTTACGCTTCAAAACATCTACACTCTCCATCCATATCTCATCTCCCACACATCTCTGTTTCAATGAAGTCAACAAATTCCATCATCGTGCCGGTTCTCTTTCTCTATATAGCCTATTCTACAAATGCAAAATCACATTTCACATCCCACACTACGGAAATCCACGCGCTGCATCATAATAAAGCTTTACATCCTAATAAGAGAGATTTTCTCAGCTGTGAGCAAACGTGGGGAGAAGGGTCGATTCCGTGTGGTGGGAGCGATAGTAAATATTGCTATGATCCTACGATTGGGGAGGTGAGTTGTCTTTTCTTTCGTGTGCATACTATGCTAGAACATGGGTTTCGTGCCCCTTGGGAAATTCCTTTGCGCACTTATTATTCAACACCTTCCGGCAGTCCTTTGATACTTTATGAGAATCTGGACTCTGAAGACTTCTTGAGAGTAGTGATCTTTCTTATCCTCAGAGAATCCTTCCGATTCATATTCAAATTGGGAAGGTGCTTGGACTTCAACTTTGAAGAAAGACAACGAGATGCGAGCATGTGAAAATGTATACTAATACATTTCACGATATAAACAGACTTGTTGTATGCAAGATTATGGATACTGTGGTATAGGAGATGTATGCGCGTCGATTGCGGGTTATTGCTGTCACAAGGTATTCATTCAACAAATCTCCCCCATCCCAAAAGACCAATCCGGAAAATAAATAGTGAACGCAATACTAACAGCATACTCCACACCAGGACGAAAACGAAAAAATCTGTATGCTTCGTCTCGGCATCCGCACACCCGAGGATTCCACACCCGACCCGGATTCTCATTCGAATTCCGATTCCGATTCCGAAGACGCAGAGTCCGGATTGACATCCGTCGCATCCTCCTCATCGGCTTCTCAATCACAATCGCAATCTACCACGGACACAAAATCAGATGACGAATCGACTGATTCTGACATCGGTACCGAATCAGATGATTCGGATGGTGCTTCGAGTCCACCCATATCCATGCTCGTAAATGCATTGAACTCGGGTCCGCTCGCAGACGAAGACGCAGATACAGAAGAAGAAGATCCAGACTCAACTTTAGACTCGGGATCAAATGCCAATGCCAATGTCGATATCGAAATCGATGCCAACACGGGAACTAATGTACACCCTGAATCCACCGCCGTGGTTTCGAGTCTCGAGACTGCAGTAGCGTCTGCGACACCTGTTGACATGACGACCAAGGATGGAATCTCTACTGTTCGAGCGTGGGAAACTTCCACGCCGGTTTCGCCTTCGGTGGCGGTGCAGATTAGTAGCAGTAGTGCTACTGCTGTGAATGTGCATAATGCAAGTGAGTCGACATCTTCGGCTCTTCCTTCGCAATCTCTTTCCGAGGGGTACAATGCCAGCGCGACGACTTCTGGCGAGGAGGGAGTTTTTACAGGTGCGGCTGTGCGGGTTGGGTGGGAATCGGTTTTGGAGGGGGGGATGCTTAGGAGTTGGTTGGTTTGTGGAGTGGCTTTTGTGGTTTGGGTGGTGTTGTGACGTGAGGAATGAAGGGGGATTTGAGGATATTGTATCGTGTGCGGCAAGCGAGGTAGAATGGCAATTCAGAGTGTCCAATAGTTTAGACTGTATTCTAACAATGGAAATCTCTAGAATATTTAATTCTTTCTTGATGATGAAAGTGTTTTAGACGTTGAATCATTTTTAATTATTGAATTGATATGAAAAATCAAATTGATGAAATCACTAACATCTCTAAAATCTGAACACTTGAATCTTAAAATGAACTACGTAAATTTCAACATTCAAACCTTTAGAATATTCAATACCTGTTAAATACTAAAAGTATTTCAGACATCAATATAATTTCAATTGTTGAATTGTTGATTTGATTTGAAATAATTGATCAATCTATCAAATCAACAAGAATGTTCTCTGAACCTCAAACCTAGAATGTTGGAACGGAGTACAATTCGGACTATTGTAAAAATACTGATAGGACTAAGAACAACTTACCTAGCTTCAGTTAGCTCCACGCTATTAAATATAATTCTGAAATTATTTGTCTTCTATACAAACCCTTCTAAGCCCACTAATTAATTATTGGCCTTAACATCCCCTCCATACTGCACCCTCCTAATCATCGAACGATTACATCCCTCGATATTTTGGATACCCGCCAACCCCATACTTTGATCCACATCCGCCAAAATCCCTTGCAAGACCTGTTTGGCTCCCTGTTTTCCACCTATTGCCAATCCATAGACAGCAGGTCTTCCGACTAGAACGGCCTTGGCACCCAGACTGAGGGCTTTAATAACATCCACACCAGTGCGGATGCCACTATCGAACAGAATTGTCAGTTTGTCCCCGACAGCTTCGACAATCTCCGGTAACATTTCTAGAGAGCCAACCGCACCGTCGAGTTGACGACCGCCGTGGTTACTAACAATGATGCCATCGACGCCGGCTTTGACGGCTTCCAATGCATCGTCTGGATGTTGGATGCCTTTCAAAACAATAGGTCCATCCCAGTTATCTTTCAAAAGTTTGATTTGATCCCATGTATGCGCAGCACCGGAGAAGACATCACCAACCCATTCTCGGGAAGCCTCAAAAGGCTTCTCCTCTGGAGTAGCGTTGTATTTTTCGTTGAATTTTCGACGAAAGACAGGGTCAGTGAAGCCAGTTTTGTTACCGACACCTTTCATGAAAGGGACATAACCTCCATCGAGATCAGCGGGTCTCCAGGCTAAAGCCCAAGTGTCGAGGGTTACGACGAGGACTTTGTAGCCGGAGTCTTTCGCGCGTTTGAGGAGGGAGAGGGTGATTTCGTCATCTTGAGGCCAGTAGAGTTGATACCAGCGGTGGCCATCGGGGCCGTTAGATTCGGCTACTTCTTCGACTAGGAAGAGCGAATTGTTAGTCGTGACTCTTGATTAATGTATAGAATTCACGTTCTCACTGGATGATGACGAAGCAGTGCTCAAAATATAAGGTACCCCAATCTCCGCACAAACCTCCGAGAGACCCGCCTCCTTGTCTTCATGGAAGATCTGCTGAACACCAACTGGAGCCATAAGGATGGGACTATCATATTCCTGGCCAAAGAGATTGACACGGAGATCTCGCTTGGTAGTGGGACGCAACATTCGAGGTACCATCTTCCATTGTCTAAACGCAAGTCTGTTGGCATCCATTGTGGCTCTTTCACCGGCTCCTCCGGCTACATAGTTGTATGATGTGGGTGCAAGCTTAGAGCGTGCTTGCTCCTCGAGTTTGTTGGGATCGGTGGTCACAGTCGGGACAGTGTTAGCAAACATGCCATCTGAAGGAAGTTAAGTTAGCTGCTTGGTCTGATTTTGAAATGAAGGAACATTGCATAGGGTATCAAACCTCTATAGATTTCATTCTGGAAAGCACCGTATTTTCTCTCGTGGCTTTCTCCATGAACGGATTGAGGATGTTGTTTCTGCATATTTGGGGACATTTTGAAGGTAATATTTCGTCGGAGGGGAAGAAAGAGAAATGATACTTATTATACGAAATGATACTGTACAATTGAAAATAGGCAGGGGAAGAAATGACTTATTGATTGTATTCCTACGATAGTTCTTATACTCACTCTACTCTACTTTGCACCGGTATCTTCGGTGATATATGCGGAGAGTCTTGACAAATGATACCAGTTCAGTACCATATTTACCTGACGTTTTCCATTCCGAAGTGGTAGAAACCTATTGCATTTGGTGTTCCGATACATGGTACCTACATCATAACAAACATTTTGCATTGTTTATACTCAAACCTAAGTACCATGAGGTACCTGGGGGAGTTAAAACAATGAGAAAGTTTTTGAATCTATTCAACAATCCGAATAAGAAGTTCTTCGGTTTATATTGAAATGTATGGAAATGTATTGCAGATGAGATTGGTAAAAGGTATGAGTAGGAGGATGCAAAGATCTTACCTTGGACAAGAAATCTATCATTACCTGGTACACACAGTCATTATTACGCTTAACCTTAGATACACTCTGTATAAGCGAAATAAGAGGCGGGAATTGAGTCCTCTTTTAAAGAACTTCTTAATTAAATTATAAATTCATTTCAAGTCAAATACTAGATTTTGAAAAGATCATACGAAAATTTGAGCTTTCTTTATGTAAATGATAAGAAGTATATATATCTAATATAATATAAAAAAGAGATTCGAATTATCAAAGTTCTTCTAAATAATACTTAACTTCCGTCTCTTATTTTATTTACATAGAGATATAATACTATATATTAGCATGCGGGAATTAATCATTATTAGAAAGAACTTTAACAATTTAAATCTTTTTCTGATATGATATTAAATATTAGAAACTCTAATGGATAATATAAAGAAGACTCAAATTTTCATTTCATCTTTTTATATTCTAATATTTATTTTAAAATGAAGTAATAATTTAATAAATAAATAATACTTTAATGAGCTCGAAAAGATTAATTTCGGTCTGTTTTTCGCTTATATAGAGAATATCTAGATAAATAATATTAATATATAATCGATATTCCTACTATGTATACGCCTTTTGAAATTAAATAAAAACTTATTTTAAATTAAAGAACTAATATAATAAAACTAAATATGTTTCAAAAGATTAATAATAATATATATTTTCATTTTTTTAATATATATTTTTACTAGAAATAATATATTATATTCTGTTTATTATATAGAGTTAAAATATATTATTATAGATTTTTAAATAAAGAAAATATTATAAAAGAAATTAAAATCCGAGAAGATTATTAAAATTTCACTTTATTATGAATTATTAAAGTTTCTAATTACTTTTATTATTATTATTTTTAATAGATATAAATTAAATCACTTAATATTATTATAATATCAAGAGGACTAATGATAATAATAAAAATCTCTTACTATTATAAAATAAAATAAATTTAATATTAAAAAATTTAAACTTTTAAATCTTCTAGAAAATTTAAAAAATGCTAATACGATTTTCTTTTAATGAAATTAATGAAATTAATTATAATGTATCTTATGAAATATTATAAAAATTTGTTAAGATTCTATAGTAGGAAATATATCGAGTAGACTCTAAGTTACTTAATAGATACGAAGTAATAAATATATTGAAGTATATTTAAAATTAATTATATACTTTAATTAAATTCAATCATATACTAAACTATATATATTAGTTTAGACTTTATAACCTTATAATCTTTTTACAGAAGTTATATGAGTAAGTAATATCAACCCTACTTTTAGTAAAATCTTACTGTTTTTATAGAATTTATTACTACTTTAAGCGAATTGAATAGATAATAAACTATTCCCTTCTTAAAATTCGATATTTAAAGCTTTTACTTACTTTCTGTCGGAACACGTGACTAAGGGCGTGATACGTAATATCACGCTTTACCTCATATACATATAAAGTATATAAGTAGGAATAGTATACGTATATAGATATAACAATTCCCTCTTATATAAAGAGAATAGACAGAAATAAACAATCCTTTTACTCATACATATTATATATATACATCTTATTAAGTCTACTTAATACTTTCTATTAACTTTAATGAATTTATAGTATTTAGAGTATTTAAAGCTTTAAATAGAATTTCGAATTAGAATATAATGAAAAATTAGTGATTTTAAATAAATTGTAATTAAAACATGATTTTCAATAATACTTCCATCATCTAGAGTTTATTATATAAATTTTCAATTAGTATTATAATTTAATTAATCTAAAGGCCTAAAGTAAGAACGTATTTAGGCGCGTTTTATATTACTTACTCCTTTAACCTTCGTATATCTTTGTATCATAATATCTATACTTAATACTATAGATAATAGAGTTTCCCTTAATCTATACTAAGCTAGTTGATCGCTTGATGCGAATGAATGACACCGTCGATCCTTTTATAATCCTGACCGTAGAGCCGGGGTTTCCTCGGCTTAAGAACTATGTCCTCGTGATAAAATTAAAGTTTTAAAAATATCTCGTGATTTCTTATATAATTATCACGGTGCAAGGGATAGGTATTAGATAAGATGTATGATATTCTACAAGGAGTGAAGAAGGGGTCGGAGAGGCGCCGACTATATGAAGGGTGGATGCCTAAGGCATCTACATAACTACGTATTGAACCCGTGACAATAATAGTTATATTATAGTAAACTGTATTCTATTAATATTAAGATTAAGATTCTATAGTAGGAACATACTTACTTAATAAGAACTAAAGGAGTAGATATACTCTAGTATAATTAAAACTAATTATATATTCTAATTAACTCTAAGTATATATCAGACTATATATATTATAACTTGTCTTCTATAATATTAGAACTCTTTCTTACATTCTAATTCTATAATACTTATAATTAATACTATAAATAATAAAGTTTCTTTTAGTATATATTAAACCTACTAATCGCTCGATATGAATTTCCTTCATTACTACAACTATAGATTCTCTAATAATACCGAGGCTCATTTGAATCATTTTGTTAATACCTGAAAAGTTAGGTTTTACATGGACTAAAAGCGTATTTAGAATTTAGTAGTGTATTCATAATAATAAGAATATTCAATTCAATATACAACCTTAAAAAAATATGAAATAAAAAGAAAAGAGATAACTTATTAGTATAAATTAGAATTCAAGGAATCGATTGATATAAATCTTTTCAAATTATTTCAAAAATTGAAATTTATATTCAATATAAAATTATTTGAATAAACTTGAATAATAATACAATTTCAATATTTAATCTTTTCTTATTCAAATACTTTTATATTAAATATAAATTTCAATTTTTGAAAAAATTTGAAAAAATTTATATCAATTAATTCCTTGAATTATAATTCATACTAATATCTCTTTTATTTTCTTTTCATTAATTTCTTTAAAGTTTTATACCAAATAAAAGAATTTTATAATTTTTAAATACTAATTAAAAAAAGCTTGATTAATTATATATTTTAATATTTAAGATATGAATAAAAATAGCTTAATTATTATAATTAAATTAATTATAATTTCATTAAATTAAATTAAAATTTTAGTTTTTGATATAATTTAAATATAATTATATTAATCGATTTATTGAATTTGAATTAATAATTTTCTTTTTTTCTTTTTTATCTCATTTATTCTTTTGAAGTTGTATATTAAATTGAATAATTTTTTTTCTCAATATTATAGAAACTAATTCTTAATTCGAAATAAACAAGATAAGAAATCCTGATCGAAATTCTCTCACTTATTAGTAATTAATCTGTATAATAAAAGAAAAATTATTTAAAAAAGATTATATATTAGAATTTAAATATTAATACACTTCTTATAGAAAATTCTAAAATAAATTCTAAAACTATATTAATAATATTAATAATAAAAGCTTTCTAATAATATAATTTTTCTTATAAAACTATTATCTATTATATAATTCTATATAATACAATTTTTCTTTCTAAGATTTCTATATACACACCATACAAATTTTAGAAATTCTTTTTGAACTATACAAAACCTAACTTTTCAGGTATTGACAAAATGATTCAAATGGGCCTCGGTAAATGGTTACCTTCATTAGCTCAGGCTTCCCCCAGCTTAGTAACTATATCCCCGTAACACGATACCCCCTCCATGCCTTCGTCCCGAAAGCTTCTTACACTCGATTCCTTTTTGATTATATTCTAACGATAATTAACGTTCTTATTCAACCATTCCGTAAGAAAGGAATGACTGTTGTATTTTTCCTTTTTCAAGGGCTCACACATTATTAGGTTACACCATATTGTTATTGTAAGTATTACGCGCCGTAGCGGTTGCTTCCCGCGGGAGGCTTGTGTTTACTATTTTGCTTAGTTTGCTTTCTTTGTTGGTAGTACCTCCGTTGGCCCGGGGCTTCCCCTGGCTTAGTAACTGTGTCCTCGTGACAATTAATATTTATTATAAATCTTGAATTGATAACTTTATCAATAAATAATATATTTTGAAGTCTAAATATTATTTTTTCATAAAATAAAAGTTTAAAGCTTAAAACTATTAATAAATTCAATAAATTTATTATTAAGTCTTTTTAATAATTAATTATATATTTTTTAAAAAAATTAATATAATTTCAAGTTTACAATAAAAAATTTAAGTTTTTATGAATCTTTTATGTAATAATATATTAAATTTTATAACTTTTCAAGAAAAAACTTTATCTCCTCATTTGTATTCCTAAATTTATTAATATCTGTATAAAAGTTTATTAAAAATTTAATATATTAAATATTATAATAATATATTAATCATTGTTATTATTGTTTTTAAGCTTTTAAATCCCAAATATTGAATTAGCTTACTCAAACTACTTTACTTTAAGATTCCAGATTATAATAATGATTATTCAATTTTTAATTCAATTTTTAGTAACGTTTTATATAAAAGATAAAAGCGTGCATGTGGTAGGGTCGTGCATGTAGCAGGGATATCGGTTAAAAGGCACAGTGCCACGGAGTCACAGACAACAACAAGAAGACCGTAAATAG